CTGCAGTGCTTTTATTGCGGTAGAGCGAGAAACCTAGGATTAGTGCACAAAAGTGGGTTTTAAACATAATTGAGAATATTTAATGAACGGTTTGACTAATAGCAGTGGTTCTTGAGGCAAAGTTGCACAGTATGAGGAGATCTATCAAATGATATGCATATTGTGTGGATGCGTGAAAGCATGCCTCTGAAAGCCTCTGTTAACCTTGTCTAATAGGCGCTCAAACTTCATTGGCCGATGGCGGTCATGTTTTTGGATATATGCAAATGACCTTATGGACACCTGTGGCTCTTTGGCACGATTTGTGGCTGTCTCAGACGAAAGATGAACAATCGTGGCTCCTAAACACTTACAGTGAGACAGGTTCAAAGACAGCCGGTTTCACAGTCTTGCGACCAAAGATAGCCTACGATCATTTTCTGACAGTGTCAGAAATTCAGAATGATCATTTTGCTGTTACGATCCACGTTTACGGACCAGCCAATAAAAATCCGACATTAAATCAACGTGACACGGCGCTAAAACATAAAACTGCTTACCTCTAGCTCGCATCCCTTCCTCTTTCGCCGATTCCACTTTTTTTTCAGCACACATAAAAACTACAACTCTCAAAGTGTGATTCATCATGCTCTTCTTGTTTACCACAGCAACAACTGAATGCTACCCCAGATAGTCACGCAGTGTGAAAACAACGGCGATCCGACGAGTTTGAAAATCGTGCAGTGTGAACTCAGCATTAGCCTACGGTGTCATCATTGTACAGTCCGCATACATGTTGTACCGAAGTTTATCAGATCCATGTCGCACAATTAGATTTGCAATGATCTTATATGATTAGCCTACTAAAATTGTGCAGTGTGTCCCGGGATTAATAGCTTAGGAGTTATGAGCTATTTTGTACTTTTGATTGCTGTCAGGCCGATTGGGGTGAGCCTTGGTGACGTTGTAGACGATGTGAGTTCTACCATCCCTCCAAGTTTCAAGTCTCTACGATTTACGGTTTGGTCTGCCCGATTAAATGTTGCATTGGCCATTCTAACAATTACATGCTTGAACCCCTAATTAACTTTTTGAATTGGGGAATTGTGAATCACAAACTTGTAATTGCAAGAAAAAGTTAAATTGTGAGATAAAAAGTCACTATTAACTTTTTAAATTTTATTTCATGATGGAAATAAATATATATATATATGTGTGTGTGTGTGTGTGTGTGTGTGTAAATGAATCATTCTGAGAGAAAAGTCTCTCAATTTAGACTTAATATACTTGCATACTGTAGTAATGAACAGTTGAGATGCGCCATCGTGTGCAGTGAAGCAACAGCCTGACCTGCTGCTGCGTATGCCTTGCCATTCATTTTAGATGTAGCTTGAAGAGGCATGGATGGCAAGGAGGGAGTTTTGAGAGATGATGTCTCTCCCATAGAGAGATAGCTAGCTAGCGTCTCTTCTACAGGGGGCATTCTCTCATAGCCGTTTTCGCGCACCGCCTCGATATTCGCATAACTGGTATGCTGAAACCGATGGATGCGTGAGGAAAACGGCTTCTTCCATTCCTTCTCGATCTCAGTATGGAGATCAGGAAGGAAAGGAAGACTCACCTGAGCTGGAGGGTTATGGCCAGAAAGATAACGTTCGTCGAGACGACCTCGCGACGCCACTTCCTTAGTCCGCTTCCATGGCAAGTCAAGTCTTGCCGTGGCGCGATCCATAACCTCTAAGAGCTCATCATACGCAGGGCAGGAGGATTGAGAAGGCTCAGCCTCAGCTTCTTCGCTCTCATCATCCATTTCCTGCTCTTCCTTGGCTGAACCCAGCAGAGCACTGGCCCCTGGATCATATGATGTTAAAGAGAGAACATCATCTTCCAGTGGCTGTCTCTCGCCCCCCGCCGATGAGCGCGAGAAGGAAAGTCCCTCTCTAAACTCATCGGCCAGGTCCACCTGAGATCCCCACGAGCTCATTCTCCTCCGTGCCTCAGCAGCGGAGGGTCCTGAACCGCGGGAAGCAGATGGCTGCCCCTCTTTACTTGAAAAGAGAGACAAACGAGAACGGAGTTTTTTTTCATTGGAAAAAACTCGCAATGCACGCAGATTGCCCCCTCGAGGACATCGCGTGCGTGCTCCTCGCCCAAACAAACAACACATAGATCGTGTGTGTCATCTGGTGTCAAATAGCGCTGACACGGATGCACACACCTTCTAAATGCTCTACTAGTGCTCGCCATAATATTAATAGATAGCTCTTACTTTTTCCTTGAAAATGCACGCTTCAAACAGAACAGTCAATGAAGACGAAGAAGAGAACGATGTGTAGCTCCCGGCACCGATTTATACTGTAGTCGCACCGGTAGTGACGTCATGGCTGTCGCCGGCCAACGAGTTGGTGTTTTTTCAATGTATGCTTCAGATACGAGTCACGACGAGGCGTTCCCCATAGCGACCCCTAGAGGACGCAGTTCGAAGTTCCCATGAAAGGGAAATATATGTGTGTGTGTGTGTGTGTGTGTGTAAATTAATCATTCTGAGAGAAAGGTCTCTCAATTTAGACTTAATATACTTGCATACTGTAGTAATGAACAGTTGAGATGTTAAAAGTCACTTTAGTCGTGGCCTTCATAATTTTAGCAAGTTCAGTAAAAGTGGTTGAAAAACAAATGGCTTTGATTAGTAAATAAATGTTTAAATAAAATCTAATACAATTCCAGCCTCAGGCTACTTCATAAGGAACTGCTTTGCAGGTTTGAACCTATGTAAGTTATGCAAGCTATTCATATCAAAGACAGATGTCTACTAATGAAAAACGTGTCATGACTCTTCTACTATAACATCAAAAGACTTTTAAAATGAAAGTATGTAGGGTGTCGTCTTCAGAAATCATTGACAAATATGAGGTGCACTCCTCACTAGGTTAACAAAAAACAAGTTCAATTTGATCAGGTTTATCAAATGGTTTTCTTGCTAAGCTGGCTGCCCTGTAGCTGTTACCAGGAAATAATATGTGGTTGTATGTTAATGAGTAATTCCTCAGAACTGTACTGGTAACTCATCTACATAACTCATAGGGTAATTAATTTTCAAAACAACCAAACTTCTAAAGAACAATTACTTAGTAATGTGTTGCTTTTTTAATAAAGTTTAATTATTCAGGAATTAATTTAGTAATTATTAATTTAAAATAATTATAAATGTTAAATTATAAACAAAATATATTATTTAAATGGACTTTGTGCTGTCCTTTATTTCCCTTTAAGCAGAAACAGATCTCAAGTAATGTATCATTCCCCAACCCTCACACAAATTCAGGGTGAAAATGGCAGGTGATGACGTTTTCTTTTTTGGGGGGCGGACCAAAAGATGCTTTAGGCTCATATTTTTGTGGTGCCAAAAACAGTGTCAGGTTGATAAGCTCTGTCACTAACAACACTCACACTGATAGATTTGTTTCATCTCTTCTAGAAGATGTTCCCTCGCTCTTCGCTGGTTCCAGCCTGGTTGCTGTTTCTCACTGTGCAGGTGAGTAGAAAGCGATGTGGATATATCACGTAAACGCTCTTTTGGAGAAATTGGGTTAATAAAGTATCGTGGAAGGTTGTCAAATGCAATGTGTAAATACACCTCGACGAAAATCATTGTTGTGATCAGTATTTTTGTCTGGTGTTCAAAAAAAAAAACTTCTAAATATTACCAAAATGAGATTACCTGAGAAGAAAAACTGTGCTCTGTAAAAATTTTAGTAATTAAGTAATTTTAACAAGAAATGCTCCTGTAGCGTTATCAAATATTATATGGTTATTATATTTATAATAAGGTTCCCGTTGTTATCACTAGTTGACTACAGTAGTTAACATAGATTTAGAAAGCATTTATTAATCTTAGTTCATGTTATTTCTACATTTACTAATACAATAAAATAAAAAGGTTTTTATTATATAATAATTGTAGTAAATGGTAATATTTTTTAAATGACCCGAGCTAACATAAACTTACAATGAACAATTATATTTTTTATTAAATAACATAAACAAAGATTGCTGTAATAAATGTATTGATCTTCATATGATTTTTTTATTCCGGGTCTGTTTGGACCTAAAGAAACGTTGATTAATTAAACAGTCATAACTTAATTGTTTTCAACTAAAACCATATTATTTCTTATCACCAAATTTTCATTAATGAATGTGGGGGGGGGGTTTGAATGTTACCATATTATTACCATGTTTTTACTGGATTTATCCATAACTATAAAAAGTGAAACTATAAAACTGTATGTACGTATGCATTTATGTATGTATGTGTGTATATATTTATATGAAGAGTTCAGATGCAAAAGCCTCTAAGTATCATCTGAAATTTTTCTTCTAAAATTAGCATTTTTATCAGGCTCCTATGTTTAGGTTTAGTCATTTTACTTTAATGGCAATGTATAGCTCATTTTCTGTTCCATTAAAGTGAAATAACTGAACATAAATATAGGAGCCTGATAAAAATGTTCATTTTAGATGAAAATTTCAGACGGCACTTAAAGGCTTTTGCATCGGAACTCTTCATATGAGAGGGATAATACAAAATGCATGTTATTTTTTATATAGTACTGACTTGAATAAAATATTTCACATAAAATACATTTACATATAGTCCTTACATATAGTTTTATAAATAGTTGAATTTATAAAAATGACCCCGTTCAAAAGTTTACAAATGCTTGATTCTTAAGACTGTGTTGTTACCTGGATGATCCACAGCCGGTTTTTATTTTTATTTTTTGTGATGTTCAATTGCTCACGAGTCCCTTGTTTGTCCTGAACAGTTAAATTGCCCGCTGTTCTTCAGAAAAATCCAAATAATATAAAATAATATATATATATATATATATATATATATAAATATTTTTTGTGTGTACAAATACTCTCCAATGTAATATATTCAACAGCTGAAATTGTCTGATTATAGTGGAGATACTGAGATATATATATATATATATATATATATATATATATATAATATATATGTAATATAAAATAAAGTAAACCAATTATATTTTAAAAGACAATACATGTCATTGTATTGGAAAATATTGTAAAATATTATTTTTAGCTAAGTAAAAAGCATTTAATATATGAAATGTTTATTATTTTTAACAAAGCAATTCACAGTTTATTCATACTTTATAAGGGAAAGCAGAAACATTCTGTTAGAGAACAATTACATTTTTGATAAGTGATCGTGTGGTTTTCAGTACCACATACATTATTAGCAGTATATTTGACAGTAATAAACAGATTTTTAATACCTCAAGGTTGATATATATATTAACATAATATAATTTAATGACATTCAATCCTATTCAGGTACCAAAAGGATTGTACCATCACTGTGTTTTATGATGATGATGATTTTTTATAATTAAGTCTATATTCCAATCAAGTAACAAAAAAGACAATAATTTAAGCACGACTGAAAGCTACAATATCTAGTGGTGCACGCAAGAAAACTAATGTTAACAGATACAAATTTTGATCTTAAAAATGTGCGTATTAGTAAATATAACCCTCATGTTGTGTTCCGACCATTTTGACCTGAAGAGGATTTTATTTTTCCAGAAAATACGACATCATATTTTCACATTTGACTAAAACGAAAAATGTTTTTCGGACGCCTCACTGATCAGAGTTTATGCACGTCAGTTTTTGAATGAAGCATTTGTGAATCATTTTGACAACGTTCACTCAAAAAAAAAATTGCTCAGATCATTGAGGCCTGATTGATCAGTTCCAAGAAAAGTAATACAGAACCTGTGCTAACTGAAAGAAAACAAGTTACTAATATTTTTACTGGAAAACAAGACAAAACTACTGATTAAGATCATTTAAAATAATCTTGTATTCAAAATATCAATATAACAATGAATGTTGATTTGTTAGCTCCGTTATTAGCATACAGTACTGTCTTTACATTTCAAGCAACTCCTGCCTGAAAGTTAAGCTGAAGCGAACTGAGCAAACTAGGTTTGTAATAGAGAAGGCTAGCATGAACAAATCCATACGATATCATACAGAGGATGATGTCTCAGGACCCCCTACAATATCTGTCCTCAACTACAATTTAACCTTACAAGTCCTTATGGTAATGCTTAGTAAACTAGAAAATGAATGCATCTGAACTACTAACAACAACTTTCTAAACAATAAATTGAGAATTTTTATCATGAAAATATAATTAAAATATAATAAAATAGGACAGTATAGACAGACAGAAGCGAAGTGGTGGAGAGAGGGGAACGGGCAAGAGTCGGGACTCAAACTCGGGTGTAGCGTCTGGACCAATCAAACACACAATATATATTTTATTAGCTATATTTAACAAATACTCTGTAACACCCCTCAGTTAACAAGCCATATGAGGACCTATGGACCCTTCCCCCGAAATGCGTAACACCTCAGGAGGGCAGAACAGGCCTCTGGTTCCATGGCAACCAACGCTGATATCACTGGGTTTATTGCCCAAAGGAATGTGAAGTAGAGAAAATCACTACCTTTTCCATAGGAAGAGACACAATGCACGGTAGAAATGGACTCTTCTCTAATTAATCCATAGGAAAACCTTTCTTTGAATGAACACACATATCCTTCGGATCATTGTGTATGTTGTCTTTGATATTTTTATACTGTTTTATGCAGGTTTATGATGGAACCACTCATTCCTGTCATCTTACCTATATGTAATCCTATCATGTTTAGTATCTATGAACTCACCTTTTGATGATCTAAACGAGCGTGTATATTATAATGGGGTACATAGGCAATATATTAGTGTCCTAAGAATCTTTAGTAATTTCGATTCAAGTTCCATATGCAAATTACCATGCTTCCACACAAAGGGTCATAAAAACTCCCCGGTATCTCCAAACTCCCACTTGGGATTTCCGTCTTTCTCATTGGACAAGCCCATCTTGAGAGGCGTGAATCTTCTCAGACCTTAAAGGCTTCACATCAGTGACCCGCCCGGAGTCGTTTTTTTTTGGTTGAATTCTGAGAAGATGAAGATGTGAGCAAACGCTCCAGGACACCCTAAGTTTGTGCCAGGCTTCGGCCTTGACTTTTCCATTCACCAAGATTCTCTGACTCAAACTGATTCTTTTTCATCAACCAACTTCAGCAAAGATCAACTTGAACCTTCAGATTGCATCAAACCTCTCTTTCAGACAGATGAGACGTGCAAGTATTCAAACTTAGTCTTATTAATTAATACATTAGGTATCATTTGCACCTTTTTACAAAGGTGTGTTTGAACTAAGAATCTGATGTTCCCTTCAGGCTGTAAATCTGCTGAATATGCAAATGATTCCATAACTTCATTCCTTTATTGCTTAAGCTTTAACCCTTTCCTATACCAACTGTATGCGTGTGTGTGTGTGTGTATGTGTATGTTAGACTAGTTTCAGTGTTTATGTAGTATGTTAGACTAGTTTAAGTGTTTATGTAGTTAATAAAGTCTTACTTGTATCACACTTGACGTTGTTCATTGTTTGCGCATAACTGGAGTCCCTACTCATGCAGATTCATGCTACAGGCTCTGTGTAGACTTGTACAGTAAGAAAGTTATTTCCCTTAACCAGGAAATTAACGTTCTTAGAATTGACAGGCAGTTGACCCTGAGAGGTCAAGTAAATATCTACAGCGGATCTAAATATTTATAATTAATTAGAACTAGTTATGATTAATTATTCATATTTCCCCTTTGAGCTGATTCGCTACACGGGTCACCCGAAGAGCAACTGCGTTACATGTCGGAATAGGCTATTTATTTTTATATTTAAAAAACATATAGATATTTGTACAGATATTAAAATATTTTTATATTGTAAATATATATAAAATATACTCTGCATAGGACACGACAATACATTTGATTGTCATTAAGCTGAATACTCAATAACATTTTCAAGGCAATAATCTTGGCAATAATCTTTTTTTACAGTTTCATTTATTTTTAAGGAAAAAAGATACATATTTTACAAGATATAATGACTAGAAGTTTTCCTCTCAAACAAAAAAAGCCATTTTTATTGGAGTATGTTTTTTTGTTGTTGTTGTTGTTGTTGTGGAGTCTATGACCAAAATGAATGATTTTAAATAAAAGATGGATAAACTTGACTCAAGTGTGAACATGGGCGACAGTCAGACTATGCCAAACAGATGATACTGTAACAATTTCAGATTGTTCAGGTTTTCAGTGAAACATCTGACTTTATGTGTCCTATAGAGTCACATAATCAAGACAATAAGGAAAATGTAATTAAACGAGCAAGTTTCTAAAGCTAGTAAATAGTTGACTTTTCAAGTTAAATAGGCTATAATTCAGTGTTTCTTTCTTTCTTTTTTTTGACAAATTAACTTATCATTTCGGTACTATTTACTTCCATGAGGAGGAGTTCTTCAGTCTGAATTTTGGTGTGATGTTTTCACAATGTTGCCCTAACATAACATCTGGTGAATATGTGTGTCATTTGTCTCACATTTGCATGCACAAAGTTACCAAAATTATGCACAACCACCCACTGTTAAAACATAATTAAACCTAACCACCAGGCCATAAATAATTAAAAATGGTATGAAATTATATTTAAATTAATTTTTTTATTTTTAAAAACAGGTCCTGAGCACTGGAGACTGCTGGACCGGTTCACAGAAGCAGCGTCATAAGAGGGAATGGGTCGTCCCTGCCAAAAAGTTTACAGAAAATGTAGACTACAGTGATTCGCCCTATTTCAGCAAGGTAGTAGACAAAACCATATCATAGATACAGCGATTCTCTCCACTCATTGCATGTACAGCACATTACAATGCTGGCTTGGTTCAATAATAACATTTAAAAGTTATTCAATATTCATGATTTATTCTCTCAATAAATCAGTTTCCCCGTTACACAGCCAGCTGTCAGAACTTTCCACAAACAGGGTACAAATTAAGGTTATCACTCATGAGGGATTAGGTTTAGGGTCAATTTTACTTTATCATCCATAAATTAAAGAAAATAATATTTGTTTGAGCTTTTTTCATACAGTAAGATGTGTTGCAATTGCAACACAAGCATGTGGTAACAGGACTGTGCACAATTTGTAATAAACATCATAATTTTGATCATTAAAATCAGTTCATTCTTAGTAATATGAACTGAATATAATTTCAACACGGCAGTAGTATGAGACTATTGTATGGTTTTTTATTGTTATTTATGATATTAATTGTGATTTTAAACTTAAACGTTCTTTAAAAAAAAAAAATCTGCCTTGTGCACTTGTTTTTGATGACAGCAGTCTAACCATGCAATGTTACATTTCTCAGATACGATCTGACCTTGATGAGATCACGATGCTGCGCTACACTATAAGAGGTCCAGGAGTCAACATGCCACCTGTTGGTAACTTCATATTAGACGAGCAAAAAGGGTGGGTTCGCATCACACAGCCTCTGGATCGCGAGGAGAGACAAAACTACACCGTGAGGATAACAAACACACACATTTAAGATTAAGAATATACAGTATAGGTCATGTGTTATAGGCCTACTGGGACTAGTTGTCACAAGGGATAAATCTCTGTTAAATTGTAAGGTTCTGAGAAGAAACTCAATTTCACAAGTACAAAAAATAAAATAAATAAATGAAATCTCTAGACAGCACTGTAAAAAAATGTTTTGTTTCAACTTAAAGTTGCCTTAAAATTTTGTCAACTTGAAATGTAATGTGACTTAGGTATTTGAGCTGACTAAAATAAATACAGTGATTCGCCCTATTTCAGCAAGGTAGTAGACAAAACCATATCATAGATACAGCGATTCTCTCCACTCATTGCATGTACAGCACATTACAATGCTGGCTTGGTTCAATAATAACATTTAAAAGTTATTCAATATTCATGATTTATTCTCTCAATAAATCAGTTTCCCCGTTACACAGCCAGCTGTCAGAACTTTCCACAAACAGGGTACAAATTAAGGTTATCACTCATGAGGGATTAGGTTTAGGGTCAATTTTACTTTATCATCCATAAATTAAAGAAAATAATATTTGTTTGAGCTTTTTTCATACAGTAAGATGTGTTGCAATTGCAACACAAGCATGTGGTAACAGGACTGTGCACAATTTGTAATAAACATCATAATTTTGATCATTAAAATCAGTTCATTCTTAGTAATATGAACTGAATATAATTTCAACACGGCAGTAGTATGAGACTATTGTATGGTTTTTTATTGTTATTTATGATATTAATTGTGATTTTAAACTTAAACGTTCTTTAAAAAAAAAAAATCTGCCTTGTGCACTTGTTTTTGATGACAGCAGTCTAACCATGCAATGTTACATTTCTCAGATACGATCTGACCTTGATGAGATCACGATGCTGCGCTACACTATAAGAGGTCCAGGAGTCAACATGCCACCTGTTGGTAACTTCATATTAGACGAGCAAAAAGGGTGGGTTCGCATCACACAGCCTCTGGATCGCGAGGAGAGACAAAACTACACCGTGAGGATAACAAACACACACATTTAAGATTAAGAATATACAGTATAGGTCATGTGTTATAGGCCTACTGGGACTAGTTGTCACAAGGGATAAATCTCTGTTAAATTGTAAGGTTCTGAGAAGAAACTCAATTTCACAAGTACAAAAAATAAAATAAATAAATGAAATCTCTAGACAGCACTGTAAAAAAATGTTTTGTTTCAACTTAAAGTTGCCTTAAAATTTTGTCAACTTGAAATGTAATGTGACTTAGGTATTTGAGCTGACTAAAATAAAAAATGTAAAGCAGCACAAACACTTTTTTAAGTTGTATATATATATATATATATATATATATATATATTGCTGCAGCGATTGAGAAAACAATAAAACTTGACTGAAAGTTTAAATTTATTTAGCAAAATAATTTTATAAAATGCCATGTTAGTTTAAAAGGGGCAATTGACATGTGCGTCTCAAATGTATCATTATTACTGTTTAACTAAAAACCCTATACTAGACTGTTTAATGGCATACAATTGTGACTACTGCTCTCCCATATCAATGCATTGCTGATAAACTGTTTACTATCCAAAAACTCTAGTCAGATTTTTCAAGGTTTTCTCCTCTAGTATTTAAAAAAAAAAAAACTTTTTTTTTTGGTTTTGTAGCTTATTGCCACTGCATGGTATCCTAACAACACCATAGCTGAAGATAATATTAAAATAAACATTGTTGTGGAGGACCAGAATGATAACCCACCAGTTTTCATCAAGCCAGAACGCATCAGCATCTATGAGGGGAGGCCAGTTGGTGAGCCTGCCGCTTTTTTGCTGTTGTCAAAAATTGCTTGATTTTCTGAAATTAGAGATGACTATTCTTTCATCTTAAAGATCTAGTGTGATAGATTCGTTTTTGTAATAGCTGTGTCCTTTCTAGGTAGCTTTGTAACACAAGTTGTGGCCAAAGATGCAGATGAGCCAAACACTCTTCACACAAAGATAGCGTACAGCTTGATCAAGCAAGAGCCAAACAATGGCAAGCTTTTCTTTGCTGTTCATAAAGACAATGGAACAATCTTTGTAAACAACCCAACACTTGACAGAGAGGTATCTGTTACCAGTTATACTGATATTTGTACATGTGTTTGTTTGTTTGTTGGTAGCTTCAAAAGTTTCCACCAAACAGTCTGGATGTTCAAGTTCCCATTCTCTTCAACAGGAACACAGATATTTTGTTCTTACGGTGCAAGCTGCTGACATGTATGGAAGTCCTGAAGGAAATTCTGCTACAGCTACTGTATTTATAGACATCCTGGATGTCAATGACAATATTCCTACTTTGGAGAAGGATGAGGTGACTATGTGCATTGGCTAATGTAACTTGAATAGTCAGGAGGTCACAATTATGACATTAAATCATCTTTTTTAATTCCCTTGTGAAAAATAATTGTGTTTGCCTGTATTCACTGTGTACTTGTAGTGTACTTCAAATCTTGAAAATATATTTTTTTAAACTGCATTTAACATAATATTAATGAAAAGTGTATTTAAAGAAAGCAGACTTTCACACAATTAATAACAATGTGAATTATTTCAAATGAAAAGTTTTACTTTAAAGTACATTTTTAATTAACTACCAAATGCTAAAGAACATGTAAAATGCTCCATTATAATAACATGCAGTAACAGTGCCTGCAAGTTCACACTTAAGTATATTATTTTAAAGTATATTTAAGTACTTTTTTAAGTATGCTTAAAAGTATGTGTACTTCTACTGTAGTATAATAAAAACTTCAATAATGGTCAAGAAAACAAAGTGTGGACATTGTTTTGGTTTCATAGTTTTCAGCAAGTATTGATGAGAATGAGGCACCTGTTGAGGTTATGAGGATCCAGGCGCTGGATAACGATGAAGAAAGGACAGACAATTGGTTGGCCGAGTTTAAAATAGTCTCGGGGAATGAGGATGGACGTTTCTCTATTGAAACTGATCCGAAGACAAATATGGGTGTTTTGTATCTGAACAAGGTCAGTGCTTATTTTGTACACAGTTCTAAGAAGTTCATGTGATGGAAGCAAAGATATCAGGGCTGAAATGTAATAAGGGTGTGCTGTATTAGTGTGATGTACACATGTGTGCTGTTTGCATATTTGTTACGAGGGTTTTTTATTTTTAACTTTTTTTGAGCAACCAACTGCACCTTGTTCTCTCCTCTAGCCTGTTGACTTTGAGTCAGCATCTGAAATGAACCTGAACCTAGTTGTTGCAAACAAAGCTCTTCTAGGAGCACCTCTCGGGGGTGGAGCAGGAGCAACAGGTGGTGGAGCTGGAGCTTCTGGAGCAGGTGGTGGAGCTGGAGCTTCTGGAGCAGGTGGTGGAGCTGGAGCTTCTGGAGCAGCTGGTGGAGCTGGAGCTTCTGGAGCAGCTGGTGGAGCTGGAGCTTCTGGAGCAGGTGGTGGAGCTGGAGCTTCTGGAGCAGGTGGTGGAGCTGGAGCTTCTGGAGCAGGTGGTGGAGCTGGAGCTTCTGGAGCAGGTGGTGGAGCTGGAGCTTCTGGAGCAGGTGGTGGAGCTGGAGCTTCTGGAGCAGGCTGCATGGTATCCTAACAACACCATAGCTGAAGATAATATTAAAATAAACATTGTTGTGGAGGACCAGAATGATAACCCACCAGTTTTCATCAAGCCAGAACGCATCAGCATCTATGAGGGGAGGCCAGTTGGTGAGCCTGCCGCTTTTTTGCTGTTGTCAAAAATTGCTTGATTTTCTGAAATTAGAGATGACTATTCTTTCATCTTAAAGATCTAGTGTGATAGATTCGTTTTTGTAATAGCTGTGTCCTTTCTAGGTAGCTTTGTAACACAAGTTGTGGCCAAAGATGCAGATGAGCCAAACACTCTTCACACAAAGATAGCGTACAGCTTGATCAAGCAAGAGCCAAACAATGGCAAGCTTTTCTTTGCTGTTCATAAAGACAATGGAACAATCTTTGTAAACAACCCAACACTTGACAGAGAGGTATCTGTTACCAGTTATACTGATATTTGTACATGTGTTTGTTTGTTTGTTGGTAGCTTCAAAAGTTTCCACCAAACAGTCTGGATGTTCAAGTTCCCATTCTCTTCAACAGGAACACAGATATTTTGTTCTTACGGTGCAAGCTGCTGACATGTATGGAAGTCCTGAAGGAAATTCTGCTACAGCTACTGTATTTATAGACATCCTGGATGTCAATGACAATATTCCTACTTTGGAGAAGGATGAGGTGACTATGTGCATTGGCTAATGTAACTTGAATAGTCAGGAGGTCACAATTATGACATTAAATCATCTTTTTTAATTCCCTTGTGAAAAATAATTGTGTTTGCCTGTATTCACTGTGTACTTGTAGTGTACTTCAAATCTTGAAAATATATTTTTTTAAACTGCATTTAACATAATATTAATGAAAAGTGTATTTAAAGAAAGCAGACTTTCACACAATTAATAACAATGTGAATTATTTCAAATGAAAAGTTTTACTTTAAAGTACATTTTTAATTAACTACCAAATGCTAAAGAACATGTAAAATGCTCCATTATAATAACATGCAGTAACAGTGCCTGCAAGTTCACACTTAAGTATATTATTTTAAAGTATATTTAAGTACTTTTTTAAGTATGCTTAAAAGTATGTGTACTTCTACTGTAGTATAATAAAAACTTCAATAATGGTCAAGAAAACAAAGTGTGGACATTGTTTTGGTTTCATAGTTTTCAGCAAGTATTGATGAGAATGAGGCACCTGTTGAGGTTATGAGGATCCAGGCGCTGGATAACGATGAAGAAAGGACAGACAATTGGTTGGCCGAGTTTAAAATAGTCTCGGGGAATGAGGATGGACGTTTCTCTATTGAAACTGATCCGAAGACAAATATGGGTGTTTTGTATCTGAACAAGGTCAGTGCTTATTTTGTACACAGTTCTAAGAAGTTCATGTGATGGAAGCAAAGATATCAGGGCTGAAATGTAATAAGGGTGTGCTGTATTAGTGTGATGTACACATGTGTGCTGTTTGCATATTTGTTACGAGGGTTTTTTATTTTTAACTTTTTTTGAGCAACCAACTGCACCTTGTTCTCTCCTCTAGCCTGTTGACTTTGAGTCAGCATCTGAAATGAACCTGAACCTAGTTGTTGCAAACAAAGCTCTTCTAGGAGCACCTCTCGGGGGTGGAGCAGGAGCAACAGGTGGTGGAGCTGGAGCTTCTGGAGCAGGTGGTGGAGCTGGAGCTTCTGGAGCAGCTGGTGGAGCTGGAGCTTCTGGAGCAGCTGGTGGAGCTGGAGCTTCTGGAGCAGCTGGTGGAGGAAGTGTGTTCAAGCAAAAGACATACCCAGTGAAGATCAATGTCAAAAACAAGCCAGAAGGCCCAAAGTTCAAGCCAAAGATCAAGCCTATATCTGTATCTGAAAACACCAAAAATTCTTTTCCAAGAGTAATTGACACCTACACTGCTATGGAAGAAGACACAGGCAAAACAGCAGAAAAAGTTAAGTAAGTGTTCTCCAAGCATTTCCTGAGAAGAAAAAAACTAAATGATTTAATCGAATATGCAGTACACAACAACTTAAGCCATGCATATTAAAGATGTTTAGATACACCTTAGCATTTTACAGTTTTACAATATTTGATTGAATACTATTTGAGGTTTATTACCATTCAGAAACTTCATGTTATAAACCTCAAACCTTCAAATTGTTAAACCAAATGTAGAATTTAAAATTGCAATAATTTAATGGTCCATGTTTGTTTAGATATGCAAAGGAATATGACCCTGACAACTGGATTTCTATTGACATGGACACGGCTGAGATAAAACTGAACAAGGTACCAGATCGTGAGTCTCCATTTTTGGTAAATGGGACCTACTATGCCAAGATCCTCTGCATTACAGATGGTTAGTATGAACAGTTAGTCAGAACTTTACATTGGGATGTTTGGACACACCTACTAGCATTATTAATATTAGCATTTATAATTTAGACATATAGTCTAAATAAACAAATAGTTACACTTTGCACACAGTTTAATTTCTTCAACTTCATGATGTTTGTCCTGGGATGCTTTTTAAACAGTAGCGAAGGAGTCTACATGTCAAACTGTAAAAGATAATTTAAGAAGGTTCATTGTAACATGTTTTGTGTTTGCTATAATTTTAGAACTGCACTCTCAGACATCTACAGGGACTATAGCTTTGCAGGTGGAGGACCTGAATGACAACTGCCCCAAACTCCTTAATAATGTGCAGACTGTCTGCAGTGATACCAGTATAGTCAATGTCACAGCAGAAGACGAAGATTCCGATCCCAACGGAGCTCCACTAGAGTTCAGTTTGATACAAGAGAAGACAAAGGGCAAATGGAACCTGCAGAGAATAGATGGTAATACCAAACAGATAATAATATGATTTATTTGCAAGGGTCTGAAAACTTACACTTCTTGATCTAAGCATGTTTTTGTTATTTACAATAAACTGAAAGCAATCACGCCACGTATAAAGTAGATAATCACCATTCTTGTTCACTTTTGAGTAGAACGTGACATAATAGTCAGGTCTCTCACTGTTTCTCACCTCTTCAGATGTAAGTGTTTCGATGCTCGCTGAAGATGACTTATGGCCTGGTTTTTATGAAGTCACCATGGAAATCAGAGACAAGCAAGGACTGGCCTGTCCTGATGAGCAAGTCCTCCATTTAGAGGTTTGCACTTGCTCTGAAGGCACGTTTTGTGCTTCAAAATTGGCTGCATTACGCACTACATCAGCCAGTCTTGGAGCAGCAGGAATTTGTTTCCTGATTCTAGGATTCCTGTGCTTAATCTGTGAGCATGAGTTTACTTTGCTGTAGTCTACCACTGTAAATGTATTATTGGTGGTAACATTGTAAAACATACATATGTTTTGTTTGTCTGTCTCTATTTTTAGTGCCGCTTGTGGCCGTAATAAAATGTGAATGTGAGAATGCTGGAAAACATTTTATTGATATTCCATTTGAAACCAAGCAACATCTTATCTCCTATAGCACAGAAGGAAAAGGAATAGACGTGGTAAAAAAAATCCCTTCATGATCTTGCACAAGTGAAAGTGTAAAACACTTCTGTCGTGTGATAACTGATTCTGTTTCTCTTGCAGGATGTTTTTCTAGAGAGCATCCCACCAAAACTGTACAATGAGGGGGGCGACAAAATAAAATCATACAAAGAAACTGTAAGAATGGTGGAAGCTAACTCTAATTTCCCATTGGACGAAATTCAGGTCCCCAGGTCAAACCAGGCTGTATATAACAGTTCTAAAATTCTAGGAATGATGCAGGAGAGTGCATTTGGAGGCTTTTACAGTGACATGGACATGGAAAACTCTGTCAGGTCGCAAGAAGGACAAGTCTTGCATGATGCATTCCTAAAAGAATACTTCGCACAAGTATGTGATTTAAAAAAAATATATATCTTTTTTGATGGATCCTCTGCAGTGAATGGGTGCTGTCAGAATTTTTGGGTGGACTATGCCTTTAACACTGAACGAAAATTACATGTAGAATGATATTTCTCCTCATTCTTTTGCAGAAATCCAGGTATATATTGGAGGAGGATTCTCCAAAAAAAGGACCGAAGCACTATGATTATGAAGGTGAAGGATCTGTTACCGGTTCCATTGAAAGCTGCAGCTTCATCGAGTCTAATGATGATCTGGAGTTCTTGAACAACCTGGGTTCAAAGTTCAACACCTTGGCTGAGGTGTGTGGATTCAGACAGACTGACCCAAAAGTTATTGTTAATACTGTCGAGACAACACCAAACGCAGCTGCATCTTCCAGTCACATGACCAACATCGTCCAGCCCAGTCCTGAGGAGATACCTGCTAAATCACCACTTGTCCAACCTGCACCTAGTCAGGGGATTTTCATACAGGAACCAATGTACTACGGGTTCAACCAGCCAATGGCAAGCAATGTTGTGCTGTCAGAGGATGGGCTTGGGCAAGGTGTGTACATAATCAATGGAACTCCAGAAGCTGAGAGAATTCTGACTCAAGGTAATGGCCATACACTTGAACATTTTGGTAGTGGACAACAGGCTGTTCTAGCAAACAACATCATTGGTGATTCCGTCTTGTACTCACAAATTGGACCTCAAAGTCCAGTAATGATTACCGAAGGTTTAGGTGAAGTTAATTCTGCTGTAATCCAGAACCTTTCACCAACTCAAAACCTTGTAATGATGCCACAGCAACAACTAGGTGGAATTGGTTCACTGCAGATGGTAAGAGTACCCATGGAATCGGTTGTATCAGCAGAGAACGGGCAGGGTAGAGTTACTCTTATGGATGGCTCAGTCACTGGAGATAAAGTATTCGTTGGAGGTCTAGGTCCTAGTCATTGTCCCATGAGCCCTCAACTACTTTACCCAGTAAGATCTCAAGAGTTTGGTGGATCAGTACATATGAACCAAACAGTAGTTGATGGCTCCCTTTACAGTGTACAGAATGATGGACAAGGGACAGTAACAATTGGACAACGTCCTGTCAATGGAGGTAATGTATTGATAGGAGGCCCAGGAACTCCAAACCTAGTAATAATGCCTCAAATTGCAACTGGTCAAGTAAAAAACCAGCTATTAGAAAGTGGTCCTTACCCAAGTGTGTCAAACACTGCATCAAAAAAAGGTGGAGAGAGTAGACTACTGGTTGGTGGTCATTCTATTCTAGAGGGTCCTGTTAGTGAAGGCAATTTCTTGGTTGCAGGCCCAGGTCAGCTTCCTGTGTCTATGAGCACAGGAGCTCCAAACTTAGTGAGACTGACTCAAGTTGCAAATGGTCACTTGCCAAGTGTTCAGAACATTGTATCAGGGGAAGGTGGACAGAGTAGACCATTGGTTAGTGGTCCCACTATTCTAGAGGGTCCAAGTCAGCGTTCACTAGCCATGAGTCCAGGAGTACTTAGTCCTTTCGAACTGCCTCAGGTAGCAAACAGACAGTTATTCAATTCTACAGTGTCCAGAGTTCTGACGTCAATGGTTATGATGCCAAAATCCAAAGGACTTGCAACAAATGGGCAGCTGAATGTTGAGCAGTGACCTAGTTTTTGGTCTAGTGGCATTAATACTGCATTAATTCTCAGGATGGGATTGCTCGCAGAGAAGCACAGAAACTATTTTAAGCATCAGATGAATTAGAAGTACTCAGCAATAAGTGAGTATGGTATTTAAAGGCCAATAATGTTAAACATGTTGCCTTTTGTTTTGCATCTTAAATCTACAGATTAGATTTCAACGAGAAAGTTTACACATTAGACGTACATTTTATAGGGCAATACATAACTTGATTAACAATACATAATTTAGCAATTTAAAATCATATCTTTAACTAAAATTGATATGGTATACTGTGATTATATGTAGCATTTAAATTTATTCTAAAGCTGTTTTTGCCGTAAATCTTATAATAAAATGTTGAATCATTTTGAATATGAGCAAGGTGATTGATTTAAAATTACTGTTGATTAGTTTTAGTCAATTCAGTCACATGATTCCATGGACTTCCATTATATTTGCATTACTGCAAACAGTAGGGAGGAGTCAATGTTATGTCCTGTGGAATTCATACTAATATATTTTATATTTCTTTCAGTATTTTAAAACGTGATTTCTCTTGGGATTTTTTCATGGAACATTTTTTTTTGTGAAGCTACGACTTCTGTGATAAAAAAACTGTTAATGTTAAGGTGTTTGTAAGATTTTGTGTTTTTAAACAATGCTGTCTTGTGTGTGGTAATACAATTTTTTTGTTTTTTTTCCCAGTAGTTTCAAAAACAAAAAATACATGTGATGTTTTACTCTTTAAGCCATTTCATGAACAGAATTTTGGGGTGAGCAAGAATAAAGTTGTAATGACTAAAGAGCAGTCCATGAAATTGTATGTAACCCAGGTAATTTAAAGATAAATAATTAGATTTGTATGCTTAATAAAGCAAACATTTCCATAATAATTTATTTGACTAGAGTGATTTTTTTGTGTGTGATTCACACTATCTAGTGGTATGAAACTGTATTGATGTTTTTACCACACTGGTCAGGTTTTTTTCTTTTTGTTTATGTTTTGCTTGGGGCTAACTGCATTTCAGTGAGAGTAGCACATGAACCTGTAGCAAAGGGGAATTCTCAAAGTTCTTTAAAGTGTTGCCAGTCTATTTAGAGGAGCCGAAAAAATATTTGGACACGTAAGCTACGCTAAAAATATGTACAATTGTTTTTGCATAATGTAACAGCATATCAAAACAAGTGTCATTTGTTTTAATGAAATATAACTTTTAAAACAAAACATTTCACAAAAAAATTATTGTCCTGTTTCACATGATAAAACAATGCTCAATGCTAAATTATTGTGACACTTGATGATTTTCAAACATTTGTGAATATGTTCACAGTTAATGTGATTCTCTACACCTATGGTTACTCTAATTGGACACCTGTGTGACTTCATGCAGGCCCTACATATCACTTTGCTTAAAAGTAATAGCAAAAATGAGTCCGGAAATATACATTTGGTTGATATTTTGAAATTCCTACATTTTAAATTTAAGTGTCTAAATACTTATTGGGGACACTGTAAAGTTTTCATGTTCATGCACACTTGCACAGCCTCACATACAGCTGCCACAGTCACTATATCTTGAATTTCACAGATTAAATGTGTTGCATTAGCTTCCGTTACATAAAATGAAATTCGAATATGTGAATTTAGTGCTTATTTCATACAAGGTGTGACGAAAAGTGGAGGGTGGAGAGAGAGGTGGTAGGGGGCTCTTCCACAGCAGAAAACTCTCACGCCTGGGTGTGTATAAGAGAAAGTGCTCTTTCAGATGCCCCACCCAAAAAGTGATCAGTAACCTGCCCCCCAATTCCAACCCTCTATACAAGAACGGCTCTGATCAACAGGTCACGACTGAGAGAGACAGAGGACGGGAGAAGATACGAGAAACAAGGACTGACCACTTCCATCTGACTTACAGCTCTCATGCCTCCCATTTGGCTTGGACGAATATGTTTCATACTTTTCTGGGCCTTAACAGTGTAATTTACTTGGCAGTCAATGGGACAGTCACAAGCCTCCCGGTTGTCATCCAAAATATCTTAAATTGTGTTCCGAAGACGAACGAAGCTTTTACGGGTTTGGAACGACATGGGGGTAAGTGATTAATGACTACATTTAAATTTTTGGGTGGATAAAGATCAATTTAGATTTAGATTTGATAAACCAATTAATCATTGCATTACAATAATATTTATATTTAATTAATCTAATATTTAAAAAAATAATAGATATTTAAATTATAATATTTAATTATATGAATTGAATCGTATTCAGATTTTTTTATTATTTAGACTAATATTTATAACATTAAGATACTTGTTAATACTTGTATTATTATCTTGAAACCTCTGTTTTAAAACATTTGGCATCAAACATTTATTCTATCAATTGTGTTGATAGGTTTTCCTTTTTATAATCTCTTCATATTTTCTTTCAACATTTTTAGATGTACCAACCAAGACAGCTACTGGGACAATAGCATTAACGGTGGAGGACTCAAATGACCACTGCCCCACACTGACCAGCAACTATCATCAAACTTGTGATAATAATAAAGTGGTAAATGTCACAGCTTTCGATGAAGACGCTGATCCAAATGGCACACCTTTCCACTTTGTTCTGATAGAAGAGGAGAGTGTGGGAAAATGGGAGATGGTGCCTATAAACGGTAAAGACGAAGCGGGTTTATTCACTTAAAACGTACAACTAACATGCAAATGCAATTTATATGATTTACTAGAGTGCAGTTCTCTCTTATTTGTAGGAACAACAGTTAGCTTCATGCACTGGAGGCTTTGTGGCCAGGCATGTACAAACTGATAGTGAAGGTCTCTGATGCTCAGGGTCTGGCCTGTCCAGACAGCCAAAAGTTTGAGGTAGAAGTGTGCACCTGTGAGAAAAAAGGCTCATGTGGGCCAAAAGTGGCTGCGCAACGTGGCTTCCCATTAAAAATAGGAACACCAGCCTTTGGCTTTTCCTTCAGTGGCGCAGTTTTGCTCCTGTGTAAGTTATTTGTGTGCAACACATTCATACAGCTTGACATTCTTGTAGAGTTTATCAAATTCTTTGCACCTTTCATTTTCAGTGGTACCTTTCATCCTAATCGTCTGCCAGTGTGGGACTGTGAGGGAATTCACAGATGTGCCCTTTAACGCTAAAGAATCTCTCATTGCATATCACACTGAAGGCATAGGAGAGGACAAGGTAAAAAATAAATAAACAAAAATGTATTCAGATGCAAAATTACAATTAGAACTTGATTTTTTTTTAATCATAAAACACACTTCAGCTTTACAACATATGGACTTGATTCTGTATGTACTATAGGAGGTTCCTCTTCTCAGCAGACCTGTTGCTGGAATAGACCAAAAACCACTGTTCCAGGACGGAACGGTTTCCAACTATGCATCCAAAAATGTATCCTCAATGCCCTTTCAAGCAAGTGTCACTCATGACAGCAGAACATTCAGCCAGGAAATTAACAAAGGGTTTACAGAAACTGACAGCAAAAGGTTTCGGGACCGACGAAACACCCTTTCAACAGCCAACCAGCGCAGCAGTGCTCTCTATTCTACGTCACTCACGTTTGAAGAACATTTATGAGGATATAGCAGTGGGAGATGCCTTTCTCAGTGAATACTTCTCTCAGGTATGAGATTAACCATTTTTTTCCCTGAGCAACTTATTCATATTTAAGTACATACAAAGACTTTGTATGCCTTTCTTCTGTGGAACACAAAAGGGGATCTTGGCCAAGCTCTAAAGACAAATCAACACCATGACGATATCATAAAAGTAGTCCATACAACTTATGCACCATATTCCAAGTCTTCTGAAGTAATACAATAGCGTTTGTGCTATAGGAACAGATCAAAATTTGGTCATTATTTGATGAACATCTTGACATCCGTCCAAGTTCGTCTTGGCACATAAATGAAAATAGTAATGTCCAATTTTTTTAACAAATTGTTCTTTTAAATCGAGCCCCTTTCAATGAATCAGTTGATACAGTTTACATCTGAATGATTCATTAACAAATGGTTCTTTATTTCAACTCACTGAATCAATGATCTGTTGGCAGTATTTGAGGTTGACCTCTCAATGGCCTGGAAGATTGTCTTTAAATGATGCTTACATTTTGGTCTGTTCATCACACAAATCTATGACTTTGAAAGACTTGGAATATAAATCATGTTGACCATTTTTATGATACTTTTATGGTACTATGGTGCTATTTTTTTTGCAGTTTGCCTCGTTTACTTTTTATTGTGGCCACACTCCCAAATAAATAAAAAAATACATAAAACGGAGGCGGTACCATTTTAAAAAGTACTATTTAGGGACTGATATGTACACTTTAGATACTAATATGTACTTCAAAGGTTTAGAGGTAAAAAGGGTACAAAGATACACCTTTAGAAAGGATACTGCCTTTTTTTCTGAGAGTGCAGGATATTCTTTAAAAAAAAAAAAAAATTTAGTGTTCAACAAAAAGGGTTATATAGGGTTTGGAATGACATGAGGCTGAATAAATGATGACAGAATTTTCATTTGATTCTTTATTGCAGAAAGTAAGCTGTCTTGCAGCAAACCCTCCTCTGACAGATGGTCTTCTGTTGTATGAGTACGAGGGTCAAGGCACCCCTGCTGGCTCTGTTGGTCGTTGCAGCCTCCTTGAGTCTGACAATGACCTGGAGTTCCTTAACAACCTCGGGTCAAAGTTCCTTACATTAGCGGAACTATGCCATCCTCCAAAGCCTTCTTTACCACCTCCCAAAACTGAGCAAGTAGTAAAATCGGTTGAAACCAGCTTCAAAACCGAGAGCTCCGTCAGCACTAACACTATCCAGATTACCACAACCATCCCACCTCCACAGGAAGTACAGCAAAGCTCTGTTACCAAAGTTGAGATGGTTAATAAATCAGCCACGCTTCCAAGTGCCAAAGCAAGCCAGACGCTTTTTGTGCAACAGCAGCCTCTATTCTACTTGGTGGAGCAGCAAATTCCAAACACTGTTTTTGTTGAGAGTCCCACTCAGGGTTTGTATGTAATAAATGGGAAACCTGGGACTGAAGGTTTGATACTCCAAGGTGGAAACGTTTCACAGGCGTCTC